ATGGCAGTAAATATTCATTTTCTGTGGGATTAAGCCTAAATATGCTCTGCTGTTTGGCACCGTAGTCACAAACTGTTTCTAAGAAAAAACCCCTCCACCACCACACAGACAGTGCAGGGAGAGAAGACAAGAGATGCCACACAAAGTCACTGGCATCCAATATCACTTCAATTCCATATGGAAATAACAGGAAATAAGATGTGCCGAATTTTAAGCACCAAGGCAACAAAAACACATTAAGATTTCATCACACAAGAACTTGGCTGTAAAATCCGTAATTTTCTTGATCTTTTTAGGGAGTTTTCATTTTCAGGAACATCAGAGAGCTAACAGCTCATGGATGCTACCAACCAGCTCAAGCAAGCATTTGCATTAAGCTGCTTTCAGTAATTAAGTGGTGGAAATGCATCTCTCCTACACCAAGAAACCTCTTCCACAACCAGATTCTTTGTCAACCTCTCTCTTTTTACAGCCTGGAAAAAGTACAAGTGGAGAAGGTCAGAAGAAAAGGTGGAATGAACAGGAATGAAAATATTGGAGGTGCTGTTATTTTTCTCCTTCCCTAGAACTAATGATATGACAAAAATTATTGTCTATGGTTAAACAGAGAAGAAAAAAATATTTGTCTGTCCTCATTTGCTCATGAGCCAAACTCATCACTTAAGGGATTTTACCCTCAAATTCCAGAAAGGTGGGAATGGGAAAAATAAGAAAACCATTCAAATACTCTCCATGAAACCCAGCTGAAAACTATTATTCATGCTAACAGTGATTCTCTTCTTGCAGAAAAGAGCTTTTCCCTCACAGAGAACACCTGCCCCTCAACTTACACCCAGCACATGCAAACAAACTTATTGGAGCTTTTTCTTCAGCAAAGCCTCGTGTGTGTGAAGGGTGGAGATGCAAATAAACTTCATGACAGCAGCATCTCTCCGGAAATGTTTGGAAAGCAGAGTTCCACCAGAACGATGCTCACATGTTCTGATGTTGCATTAGCACAATTACAGCTCTTTTCAGAGCCCAGAAGATTTAGGGTTTATAACTGTTAAGTATTAACAGATCACTTAGAAATAGTTAACAGATTTTTGAGCTGGAGTCATTTATAACATCAAGCTCTCCATAACTCAGTCCATGCTGGAAAACAGTATTAAATGGTTTTATTTAATGAAACAAATCCTGCTCTTAACAGCAACGTTAGGAGTGCCCAGTGGTAATACATTTAATATAAGAACTTGTACACATAAAATAAAGGAATCTTCACTTTAAAAGCAGCACTAATTCTGAAGTAGTTTATTACCCCACAATAAAGTGAATAAAGTGATTAGAGTCCAACCACAATCATGGACAGCTCACAGGGAACACACCAGCAGAAACAATTCCACAAACGTTCCCAAACCTGTGGCAGGATTTTCAAGGGTTATTTCAAGTTAATAATAAAAGGATAGTAAAAAAAGAGACATTACACAAGTAAAATCAAAGAAAAAGTCTTATGTTCCCCCTCAATTCCTTCAGGACACCCAACCATTCAGCTTGTAAAGTCATATCATGGAAAGCAGGCTTTACAGCTCTCAATAGTTTTTTTGGTTTTTTTTTTTTTTTTTTTTTTGGTGGGGGGGGAGGTACAATTTAAAAAATAATTTCTCCGATAATAATCACTGTGAGACAGGAGAACAACAGATTAAAAATCAGAGAATAAAACATCCTCCATGAAGTAAAAATACTACTTTAACTACAATGGTGTCTTTGACATGCCAGCTAAATTACTCAAGACCTTCTGAGTGGCTTGGGAATGATTTGGCACTAGGAGAAATAGAGAGGACCAACACTTTTCTGAAATGGTTCTTTCTGCTTAGGGGATTTTTAGCTTGCTCTAAAAAATCCAGGTCTTGTTGCCTGTAGGAGACTGCAGAGCTACTCTGATTTGGGACCACCCAGGTACCAAAGGCAGGGCAGCTATCTCAGAAGAGATGATGGGTTGGGAAATGAGGAGTTTATAAGTAACAAAAGGAACTATGAGATTTTAAACTAAGATTATGGGTGAGGAAAATCCACTCCTTCAGCATCTCCCACACTTTCAGCTGCACGGGGTGCATGTTTCAAAAATCTCAGAAAATTATGGAAGTGCCCATTCTCTGTTCCTGAAATGCTCTGAAGTGCAGCTCAGCAATCACAAAACCACCAGAACACAACCACACTTCCCTGGGGAGGGGAGCACCCAGATAATATCTGCAGAGAGCCTTCTTTGATGAACAAGCTGTTTCAGTCACAAGTTTCCTGTGAAGCTCCCCTCCAATCTCGCCTCACCTACAGCAGAGGCACAGGAAGCTTGTTCTGAAGTATTTTATTATTACTTCAGGATCTTCTGCTCCTTCTGAAATCAAACATGCCCACAGGTTTATCTAAGAAGTATATTAGAGGGCACATGGAGAACCTTGACCCGGGCACTTTGTTTTCTTGTTTAGTTAATGTGCATTCATCTCAGCCTCTGGAGTTCCTACAGATGGGTGCAAAGCTACACCCACTTTTATCCAGGCATCTACAAATATTTTAAAGCCTAATAACAACACAGATGCTCTTTCTCAAATATCTTAGTCAGAACAGGGAAATATTTTCACTCTCTTAACGAAGATGATTAAACTCACTGGAAATTCCTGTCCATTTGCAGTACATTTACAGGATTTCATAGTGCAGTTTACAGATAATAAAATAAATCGCTTTGAACCTAAATAGCATTTCCACACCCACCACGCAGAAAAAAACCACAACATTTTCACCTATTAAAAGAACCCCGGTATTAATTGGCCGTGTAAACATCTGCAGAAAATAGCTGTATTTAAAAATAAATGAACAAATACAGCAAACCAAACCCCCAATTGCTGAAAGAGCCTGAGAGGAGCTGGAGCTGCACACCAGAGAGAGCCACCTCCACACCTGAACTCCAGGATTTTCTCAACCATTGCCAATATTTCAAAATACAGGACCTGGGTAGACTGATTTTCACACTAAAGATTGAAAAAAAATTCTGGTGATAATGATGTTAGAACCAATCCATCAGGTAGGGTTTTAAACTGAAATAAGTCACTTCAGTAACACTACTCATAAAAACGCCTGCACTTCAAGCTTAAAATCTTACATAATCTTGTAGTTCTGATCATAAACCCCACAGTTTACTGTTGAATTTATTTATTTTTAGACTTGCCTAAAATTGTACAGTGTCTGCAGTCCTGGTGTGAGTAGAAAATAGTATAATTGTTAAGTACCGGAACACTTAATGTGTAATACTGGAATAACCACCAAAACAATGTCATTAACATGAGAAGCAGCCCGGATTGCAGGCAGTTTCCTGCTCATTTAGCCAAGATTAATTCTTCACAGGCAAGAGGAACATTCTTTTCACCTTACCAAGGACAACCCGAGCGAGAAACGTTAAAGAAAAGACGTTCTTTATTGCTTAGGTGTTCTTTTTTATTAAGTCTGATAGGTAATGTCAACAAAAACCACTATTCTGTGCTCTAGGCAAAAGGATCTTAGAGGTGGACGTGGAAGAGAGACAGACACGGAGAGCAGATGGCAGCAAGTCTTTCAGAAACTGTTAAGAGAGAGGGGGGGAAAAAAAGTTTCCCTACAAAACATATTGCTGAATTAAGAGGAACGCTGCTGAGCTGAAAAATCAGGCGTTAGGAAAAGACTACACACTCGCCTTTACTGCAAGGCAAAAGCTGTCAGAAATCATGTCTGGTTTCAAAAGAAGAATAAAAATTAAACATCCCGAACAACCTTCTGGCTGTCCTTAACCCGTTTCCCTGGGTAGCACAGGCAGGGTTTTTGGGTTTCTCCTGGCAGCGCTCGCCATTTCACAGCACATTTAGCGCACACAGCGCGGATCGATAGCACTACAGACACAAGACGAGACTTATCCATTTACTAACCACAGCAAAACGGCCTCTTCAGCAAAATCCTCCGGCTCCTAAGGCTGGAAATGTAAAAGGCATCCTTACAGGGATCTCATTACTCCCTTCTCCCGGTCACACGGGGAGGCTGAGCACTTGTCTGGGAGCTTTTAGCCTGATAAACAAGTGTAGCTTTGCACACCCTGCAAGGATGCTAAAAACCTACGCAGAGCACTAAATACACGTTCCAAATGCGGGCACAGAGCGCCAGGCTGGCTTGTAAACTCGCATGAGATCCTCGCCCAGCTCGCAAAAGGGCTTTTTGTGAGACTGATGTAGCTCCAAGCACAAATGGACCAACAGTTGCCCAACCACTGGTTGCTGCCATAACAATTTTCCTCCTGGAGAAGCGTGGGGAAGTCCTCACACCCCACTCGCTTCCCAGGACTCAGAGCTGGTTTGAACCTCAAATTCTGCTGTTTTAAAGTGAAAATCAGTAGGTTTTTTGGGTTTTCTTTCTGCACTAAAAGGCAGTGACATAACGAATAACAAAACACAAAGGGTTACAAATGATTCTTTAGACACTGAAAGCCTGGCTTTTCACCCCAACTCTGTTGGTACATATCTACACGCACACACCCCTCGCTATCACCAAAGGACGAGCTCAGCCTTTCAGAACGGCCCCTATTCTAAATTAATGAAGCATTAACGAAGGTCGCTATTCACCAGTGACTAGTCCGGGGTAAGAGAGATGAAACTGGAGGAAAGAGCATTTCAGCCGAGTAATTCTTATTTAAAAGCAGCATCCAACACCGATAACTGCGCTGCCAGGTTACTTATGTGACACTAGGTGGTTATGTCTCCACATTTATTCCACACAATTGATCTGAAATCCAAGAGTTGGGAGCGTTTAAATTGCTCACTTAATATATATATATTTTAAGACTAAACACGAAACAGCTTCTGCCTTTACAGTCGCTGCCATCCACAAACATCCACCTGAAAAAAAGAAAATATTTCTTCCCATTCATACAGTGCCAGCCCAAGTTTCCCAAGTGCTGACCCCAAAGCCCTCAGTTTAAAGTGACAAACCCAGGAACATTCACTTACCTGATGAACAAGAGATAAGAAAAACAGCGAACGCCAACTTAGTAGCAGCTCCCATTTTCCAATGCTGTTAAAACATTTAAGTGACTAAGTATCCAGTTTTCTGGGTCCTGCAAGCTGGAAGAATCTCTTTTCTTGCTGAACCGTTATAAAGCAATTTACAGCAACATTTCTGCAGCAGGTAGTGTTCATAAAACACTAAAAATCAGGTTTGTTTAGACACTGACGACCTCCCCGCGGCTCTTTCTACAGAGAATCCAGGTTGAGGGAGGGATAAATATATTTGGAACCGTGTTTCAAAACACACGTGTCATTTGGCTTCTATACAAACGGTGGCAAAATTCAATTCATAAAAGTAATGCTATGAATCCACTTAAAAAAAAAAAAAAAAAACCAAAACAAAATAAGTCAACGATTAAGCTGCTGAGCACGACGAAGTCTCTGAGTCTCCAAGTGTTTTCCACATCAGGCGCCGTGAAGGATCATCCCTTGTGGGTGCGAGTGTCGGGGGGTCGGATCGGGATCAGTCCAAGGCGGTGTTTTCGTCCTGGCTCCCCCTTCACACCCCGTGTAGTGTTTGGGAGAAAAGCAGCTCCATTCCAGTTCCAAACCTCGGGGCGAAGAGAGGAAGTTTTCTGTCAGTTTGTCGATGAAAAACTACCTTAAAAACGAGCCACCAGCTAGCTACACGTGGGTTTTCTTTAATAAATGCTGAGGGATTTAGCGTAGCCCAGGAGAGGGAAAGGGGGGAAACAACAGTCTGGGAACAAACAAACCTTCGGGCTCCCCGGGAAGTGGCAAATCTCTAGTCCTTGGCCAGGCAGCGAGAGCAGTGCATCCCCCCGTCTTCGCCGCCCTTCTCCAGCACCAGCACTCCCGAATCCCAGCAAGATTTCCAATTCTTCTAGGAGATTTCCAATCCCCTCCCCCCGCGAGAGGCTATATTTGGTATTTAAACACACAAGAGTGGCTGGGGAGGGGGTACCAAAAAAAAAAAAATTTAAAAAAAAAAAATTAAAAATTAAAATGCAGTATCCAGGCGCTGGGAAGGAGGGTGGTATATTCTTTGTGGCAAATCCTTGCCGGGTGCCGTGCTTCCAGGAGAAATGGGCTTCTTTGGAAGGGAGGCGGCTGTGCCTCACGGCGGGCTGGGGCTGGATGGATCCAGGCTCCTCTGGCTCCTCACGGGTCCTGGATGGATCCACGCTCCTCTCCCTCCTCACGGACACATCTCCTCCTCGCCGCCCCGCCGCCGCTCCTCACACGGAGACTCCACAAAATCCACTCCTCCGAGCTCAATCCAGTTCTTGCCTTTTTTTTTTTTTTTTTTTCTCCTCTTTTTTCTTTTCCTCCTAGGAGCGAGCAGCAGGAGACGGCAGGGGCGGGGAGGCAGAGCCTTCTCCCCGCGCCTCCCACACGGCGGAGCGGGGAGCGATCCCCTCGTCACCCTCTCCCCTAACTCTGACCCCGGCTCAACTCTCCGGTCTCCCGGGCGGCGGAGGCAGCGCGGCTCAGCCCAACTTTGTCCCTCCAGCAGTGCAGCTTAGGGGCTGGCGAGGCGAAAAGGCCGAGCCGGGGGATTCTCTCCGGGCGGCGGCGGCCGTGCCTAGAGCCCGCCGAGTGTCGCTGGCAGCGCGGAACAGCCCTCGGTGCCCTGCTGCCGCTGCTCCCCCGTGGTAATCTCATATCTACCCATTCACCCGTGTGGCGTGTGGAGAACCGGCCCAAGATGGCGGCGCCCGGGCGATTGTTTTTGTTTCCTCTCCACCTCCCCCTCCTTCCCCACGGCCGAGGCGGCCGCCTCGGATTGACAGCCACACCACCCAATCACAACCGGGGATTGGCCGTTTAGCCCCGCCTACCTCTGCTCGCCCCTCCTATCGGCGGCGGGGCGGAGCGCGCTCCCCCACGCTAGCCCCGCCCCTCGCGACCCGCGCGCGCCGCCTCACGGGCGCGCTCCTGCCCGCCCTTCCCGCCCCTCAGGGCGCGGCCCCTCAGGCGCCCTCGCCCCGCTCCGCCCCGACCCCCCGGTGTCGGTAATTCACCTTCGCGGGGCTCCTTCGGGGTGTTGGGGGGCTGTGCCGTGCTCCCTGGCTCGGGTGATGGAGGCAAAACGCTGCCGGCAGCCACGCGGTGGGACCTGGCTGGGAGGGGTCATAAGGGTGTAACGTGTACACGACGGTGTGGGGCTGGGGGCGCTGCCATTGGGGTCACATGTTGGCCTGGTCTTCCGCCTCATCCCCAGCCCAGCCTGAAAACGTCCCTGAAAATGTCCTACGGGTAGTCCAGGTGAGAGCTATGGCTGTGGTGGTCCTTGCTGTGGGCACATTGCTCCGGAGCATCGCTGCTGCTACAGCATGGAATCAGAGTCACAGAAGAGTTTGAGTTTAAAAGGACCTTTAAAAGTCATTCATTTCCAATCCCCTGCCCTGGGCAGGGACACCTTTCACCATCACAGGCTGCTCCAAGCCCCATCCAGCCTGGCCTTGGACACTTCCAGGGATCCATGGACAGCCCCAGCTTCTCTGCCAGGGCCTCCCCACCCTCACAGGAAACAATCCCTTCCCAGTATCCCATCTAATTGAAAGCTGCCCTTTTTTAAGTTGGAATCCATTCCAGTGGCCCTGTGACTCTAAGCTGTTCTCTCTGTGTTTGTGGTGGGCTCCCCGGAGGTGCTGGAAGGCACCTGGAGTGTGTTTGTGGCCTCAGCTCCAGGTGAGATGTGCCATTTACAGCCTGTCCTGTCCAGGTAATTAATTGGCTCTGCTCCTTCATGAGTTTGGTGTCACTCCTTGCCCCTTTTTTTTATTTTTCTTTTTTTTTTTTTTAATGGATGCCATAAAATACATCTCTTGTCTCTGGATAAAAAGGAAGACGTGGCTCTTAGATCTGGAGATCCATGTGGGAAAGCACAAGAGCCTTAATCTCTGTATTCTATAAAGACCTGTAGTTGCACAAGCAACAAGTGCCAAGTTCTCTGAGAACTGGTTATGCTGTTCACCAAGCCCAGATAGGTATTAAATGCTTCCAGGTTCCTTTTCAAACTGTTTGGTGGCATGGGCTAAGGGGATTATTTTTGGCATGTGAATAGTTGGTGGTACTAGACTGGAAGGAAAATTATCTGTATTTCACATATATGAATATGCAGCCAAATCAAGGCTTAGCAACACTGCCAAGCTCTAACTCACAGATCAGTAACTAGACCTAGTGACCCACCAGGATCCAAAAAATGGATCTATTTCAGTTTTTTTACACTGAGATGTCTGCTTGAGTTCTTAATCAGGCACCCTTGGTGTGTCTCTGTCGTGTCCCAACACTTCCCGACATTAAAATCATCCAGTGACCATAATTTTTTTTATGATTTGAAACATCCCAAACGCAAAATAAGATGTCAGGGCTTGTGCACATCTAGAAGCATCAAGACATATGGCAACACCTTTTATGCCATCTTTTATCCAAGTATTTCAGAATGATTTACAAGCCTTAATTAATGTTAAGTGTTACAACACTCCTACTTAATCTGTAGTTTTTAATATTCTTCAATAGCAGAATATTTAAACGTGACCTGTTCTGCAGGTTGTGTTTTCACTTGGCTCAGCTTCTTCAGAACACTGGTCATGTTGCCACATGAGTAGGAAATCATAGCTAAAAATATTGCTGGTGTGTGTGTGAATATATATTTATATATGTACTTCCCATTGCAGGGATTTAGCTTAGTTGTCAGAAGTTGGGTTATTTTTGTTTTTTTTGTTTTGTTTTTTTGCTGAAAGAATGTAAATTATGGTGCATATTTCTATTTTACAAGTTGTTTTTGATAAAAATAGAAGAAATGTGTCACCTATATAAGAGAATTTGCACGGATGTCATGGCAAGGAGGTGTCTCTTACTCAAGGAGCTTATTGTCCTTAGGCAGGGGTTGCTTTTTGCTTGCAGGATTCCTCTGGCAGAGCAAATCCTTCTGACCATCCAGGAAATATTACAAACACAATCATTCTGTGGGGTTGCTCTTGACAATCACCTGGGTATCAGCACCACAGCAATCACAAGCAGGGCTCATTCCTGCCTTTTCCTTCCCACTTTTGGGCATGGCCAGGGGTCTGGGAATGAGGATGAGTGTTGGTGGCTGGGATCAGAGAGCTCTCCCTGCCCGCACTGGGGATTTGCTCCCATTTAATTACACTAAAAAAAGAATAGTTTGGTGTAGATATTGTACAGACCTTAGGAGAAATTGCCAACCATTTTTATGAGGTACTTGATGCAAAATGCTTCAAGGGCTTTGGGCTAGGCTGTTGTTTTATTGCTAGTAAAAGGATGAGTTTTATCCCAAGCAGACACATGAAATGTCAGCACAGTTGCTGTCTCCTCTTTATTTTTAAATGTCTTTCTCATGTGAATTTTGGGGGTGTTTCCCTTTTTCACCTTTTGGCTCCTCATTTCTATTTTCCTTTCGCCTTAAACTCCAGGTCCTTTTTTCCCCCCTTCCAAGATCAATCTGTCTCTGCATTTTTAATGAATCATTTACTGTGACATATGAGCACTGAAGACACAGTGTCAGGGACTTAAGCAACTGTGGAGAGCAGGAGGAGATGAAATGGATGTGAACTTAGCTTCAGTCTTTTGTTCATGTGGGATGGGACTTTGCCTAGAGGCAGCACAAATATAACTTTTCCTTCTAGGGAATAATGAGGAGAGTTAAAACCCAGCAATGTCTCATTTTTCTCTCTGGAGCACTGCTAGGAATTGAGGATTTCAGCTGTGCCTTTGCTATTCCCTCTCTTAGCAGTGAATCAACACAAAACCCAACGTGGTAGGAAGGGAGTTTTTGTGCAGAACTCATTCACAACACCTAGAGTAGCATTTCTGAATGCAAAATGGGAACCATGGGGTTTATAACATCAGGAGTGACACCAACAGAGAGATTCCTTGTCATTATCTCTTTCATCTTTCCTTGTGGTCTAAGTCATTCCCCCTTTGAAACTCTGGAAGAAGAGAAGACCCCATTCAGGCACTGTCCTTATATAACCAAACAAAAAAAAAAAAAAAGACCAAAATGGCAAGAAATTAATCTCTCCCAGGGTTGCCCTCTTTACCAGCCAGCTTCACTTTCCTTTGGGAAACAGTGCTGGATGGCAGCCTAAATTATTTTATTTTAGAAAAGGTAAATAACTACCTTAAAATATTTTTACTTTCATATGTGTGATTTATGTGAAACTCATCATATTCTAAAAGAGTTTCAATACAAATGTTCACTTCTGTTGCTGTGGACAGATAATAAAATTCCTACAAATTATTAATTATTTTGCACTTTTTACTCTGTTCCAAAACTATTGAGATACTTTACAGTTATATGAGTAGCACAACTTGAAAACATGAGAGAATGTGGAATTAATCAACCTTTTAAATGCTGCTGCTGAACTGAAATAAAATCCAAAGCTTGCCTCTGCAATGCTTTTGGTTTGGGGCAGTATAGGTGACCGTCAAAATGTTCTCCTTTAATGTTTTAAATCAAACTTATAAATTTTAAGAGCAGTTGTGGAATCCAGGTGAGTATCCACAGATTCAAATACAGGCTGAAATCACAGCCCTGCTTTGGTGTAGGGCTGAAGTGGGATCATTTTATCCGTGTGAGCAGTGACAGGACTTGGCCTGGATCATGTTCTGTAAAGCTGTTTTTGTAGTGACTTTGTGTGGGTAACAAATTCCCTTTTCAGTTAAACACCTGGAGCCTGTAGACCCCACACCACCAGGGATTTTTCCCTGCCTCAGGTTTAAAAAGAAAGATACAAAATATTACAGAAATTAACTTTGATACAAGCTTCATCAAGTTGTTTCCACAAAAGCTACATCTTAATCAAGGATTATTTTTCCATTATAACCTGTTTCCCAGACTTTTGTTTCCTTAAAGCAAGGATTCCAAACTACCTAATCTGTTTTCCTGGAGGAGGTAGGGATGTTTCTTTCTAGGATTTCCAGAGTCTTGTCAGAAGAGATCATCCCACTGGAGCTTCTGGCTGCTTTCAGACACTCCCTTGTCTCTTAGGGGCACTTTGTTGTGTCACAGGGTTTTATCACTGTGGCATTTATCAGCTATGATTTCATCCATATTTCACAGCAAAGTTGCATTTTCTGGGTATTTTTCTCTAGTCCTCATTTGCACTGTAGAATCCTTTTTTTGTGAGTGCCATGAAGAGTCCAAGCTGAATTCCTGAAATCCCAGTCTGTGCTATGAAAAGGAGGTTCTCCAGGTCTATGTAGAGATCTCCCTTCTCAAAATACACCATAATTTATATATTCAGTTATAAACTGACTCTGTGTTCATCACAGAATGCAAAAGTTCTGCAACATTGTCATGTTTTCAACGTTATTTTTGAAAGATTCTTAAAATATGTGACAAGTGTTTGTTGTTTTTTTGCTACAGCGTCCTGACAGTGATAGCAGATTTTAAAGATCTTTTGCACTGCCTTTGAAAGGCTTGATACATATATTTGTTGATAAAGATTTAAATATTTTAGGCCAACAATTTGTAATTAAATAGTCATAAGAAGTAGGAGTGTGAAGTGGCCAAGTGTGGAGAGATTGTCAGATCTTCAGAGTATTCAATTGTGTGCTCTTCAGAATTATTGTGTCAATATGACTTCTGGTTGTTTTGGAATACAAATACATGAATAGCTGTAATTACTTATGGTGTCATTCAAAATATCCTAGAAGCTTTCTGGAGGGTGGGATCAGGAGAGCTGGCTGATACTTTGGTAATTTAAAACCTCAGTAAGGAGAACGTTCCTGGA